TTATGTCAGTTCACACCTTGATCCCGCATTCCATCCTTTCATACCCCATAAGTAACAACAACATCATCGAAACAAAAATCATCACAAAATCATACACAAAAAACCTCCACAGCCCGGTACACACATAACCCTCTTACCCAATACCTCAGAACTGAAACTCAGAGATATTGAAGAAACAAATCAAGTACAAATACACAAAGCTCACATCGAAGTCGTCGCTGGATTTGTGAAAAATCGGTACTTCCTTTCGTTATGACTAAGTGATGAATCTAGCATATCTGTTTTTGTGTTTGTTCTTCCTTCTGAATGTTTTTGTTTGTAGCTTGGAATCTGTATCACAAGTTTTGGAATTGGGTTTCAATGGGGTTGGTTTTTTATTCTGATTTTGCTGTTTGATTGCTTGTAGAAAATTGAAGACCACAAACTTCTAAGCTGTAAGAACAAAACAAATATCACATAATCGCAAATGAATGTCTAAATGAAACTAAAATTGAACAAATTAACGATACAAAACTTACATAAGTGGTGGTAACTTGAAGCTTGGAAGATGAGAGGTTGTGGTTCTTAGTTTGACATTCTTAGAGTGTATATGTTTGACATTGAACATAGAAAAATGAAAAGTCTTAATAATTATTGAATATGGGAAGTTGTGAGTTTTATCTTTTTAAAGCAGCATTTCAAAGTTCCATGAACCGTAACAGCACACTATTAATTTTTATTTCAAATTTGCATTGGGCCCGTGTAAGTTGTACTACCTTTCACTAATTATGGGATAAAAATAAATTTAAATTGTAACAAAAAATGTGAACATAGTTACACTATTGATTGCCATTTCAAATCTCCATTGGACCCACTAAAGTTGTACTATCGATCACTAATTATGGAATAAAAAAACTTGATATAACACATCAGCCGTATTAATGACTAAATGAATCTAATTGCACCTTATGTGTAATAAGACAATATTTGACATAGAATTAGAAAAGTTTCTACTAATAATCAGAGGGGTATAACATGAATTTCCAAGTACGTTACTTTTTACATATTTATAATAGACATTATATTTATTTAAGACACAAAATTCTTATTTTTAAATGTCAAAATTTTTATATTTCTTACGGTACACTATCAACAAAATACCTATTTATTTTAATTAACAATTATCTTTATTTGAGATACAAAATTCTTATTTTCAAATGTCAATATTTTTATTTTTTTCACGGGACACTAACAACAAAATATCTATTTTATTTTAATTAACAATTGTCTTTATTTGAGACAAAAAATTATTGTCTTCAAATGTCAAAAATTTTGTTTTTCATGGGACACTACCAACAAAATATCTATTTTATTTTAATTAATAATTATCTTTATTTGATACAAAATTTTTTTTTTTTTTTCAAATATACAAATTAAACTTATATTATTATTATTCATTTTATAATTAAATAACTCACTTCAAATTTACACACACACACACACACATATATATATTAAATAAATTTATATATAAGTAAAAATATATATTATATTAAATAAATTTATATATATAAGTAAAAATATATATTATATTAAATAAATTTACCCGTGTGAACACACGGATATCTTACTAGTATGAAATACAATATATTACTACTGATATTTTTCAACTAAGATAATAGAAATAAAAATGATAGAATTTTTTTATTAATTATGAGTATGAGTGACAAAACGGGTCGGGCCCGTTGGACCAGCCTATTTGACCCACCATTTTTGGAAGGTTGGGCTGAGATTTTCGGCTCAATACTTTAAGTTGGCCTGTCCCGCCTAACCCTTTTTAAAAAGCGGGCTTAAGCGGGACGGGTTTTGCCCACGGATTTTTTGTTACAACTTTTTGCTTAGAATTAAGACAACTTTAACTATAAAAACAACAATATTCTCTTTTGGTTATGGTGATTTAACTACATTTTAAATTATTATACAGACAAATTGAATTATAATTGTAAGGTTCTTTATATAACTTTCTAATACATGTATTGGTTGGAAAAACTTGAAATACAAGAACAGTTGTATAACATGAAGAATTATTAAGTTGTCAATACATTAGCTCACATGTTTTCTTTAGAAACAAATTTTAATTTTAAGAAAAGGAAGAATTCGATTAGAGTATACGTGTGACAAATTTAAGATATAACTATTAAGGAATCAGTCAATGTAATAGTCTATATGACGTAAACAGTGAGAAAGTCAGATGTTAATATTTTATACACTACTATTTTATGCACTGTGGTGTTTTATACACTGTAATGTTATCATTGTTTGTCTTGTGCAAATTATTAATTAGGTTCTTTTAGTAATTAGTTTTTAAATAGGATTATGATGATATGTGTTGTTTATTTATTTATTTAGATATATTTTTTATCGTGCTAGAGTCTATTTCGATATGTTTTTCTTGAAATTGGTCTTTATCTATTTTATTTTTTTAAGTGTTTGAACTTAAGACATATTGAAGTTATATTATGTGTTGTTAAAAAAATATCTTTTGTCAGCTTCTTTAGTAATGATCAAATTTTTTGTAAATTACGTAATAAATTAAATTGTAAAATAAAAAAATTAAAAAAATTAGTGGGACGTCCCGCCAACTCGTTAGTAAATAGGATGAATTTGACTTTTAAACTCAGATGTCTAAGTTTGTCCGCCCCACTTTTATACGAGTTTAAACGGGACTGACCTAAACGAAGAAGCCGCCTATTTTACCACTCCTAATTATAAGCTTTAATGTTACTTGAAGTAATTTTTAAAAACCTTATAATTAATAAAAAAAATATATTATAAACTCATAAGGAAACAATTGTTATTGAACTAACATAATTAAGTGAAAACATAACAGAAAAAAAAAATCAATTAGATTGACAATTCAAGTCAAACTAAATTGAAAAACAACATTTTTTTGGTTTGGTCTAAAAACCAAACATATTAAACTGGAATAATTTAGTTTGGTTCTCAATTTTAGTTTTTAAGAAGTGTCAAAACTGATGATGTAAATGATGATTAGAAATACTTATTTAGATTTTGTTTGATAAAATTAGTTGGTAGCGAATAGTTAATAACTTATAACTGATAGTTGATAGTTGATAGTTTATAGTTTATAGTTGATGATTGATAGCTGATAAACTAACATAAGTGTTTGATAAATTAATTATTTCATTAGTTGATAGATACAAAATAACATAAAATGTCATTTTAATTAATAAGAGTAATAATATATTTTTATTAAAATAACAATAGTATAAATGGAAGAAAAAGTCACAAGGTAAAACCTAATTCAAATAACTTTTGAATAAAAAGAGCTAAAAATTAGTAAAAAAGTTACAAACTACAAACTAAAAGCTAAAATAGAGTTATCAAACAAATTTTTTTCATTAATATAAGTTGAAAAGCTAAAAGATAAAAGCTAAAAGATATTTTTTGGGTTTTACTTAATCTTAAATTCTAATATTGTTGAATTGTAGATTTATATTCAAAATTGTATAAGAAAATTCAATGTGATTGAATTACTAAAACAAATAGATGAAGTGTAACAACTTGTTGAAGAATGTATTAAGATTTAAATTTTTTTTTTATTGTTTACTTTATTAATAATATTGTCAAACTAATTATTTATGGTTTGTGTGTACGTTTTAATTTTTTGAAATTTTTCGAATATGTCTAACTAGTAGTGAAGTTAACAATCTCATTCAAGAAGTCTAGCCTTCTTTCTTAGTAATTTTAACGAATGGAATTGATCCACTTTACTATAACTAAAATTAAAAGTGAATGAAGCAATCTAATATTGAATTTAATTTGACATGTTCAAATTAAAAATAAATTCAATGTTCTATATTACTACATGTTTATTTCAATTTATTTTGGAATGGTAAATTGACTATTCAAGTGAGAAAGAAATTGAAAATTTATTTTGGTTGTATATTGCTATTTGATTGTGAAATAATGAATTTGGTTGTATTTTGTATTTGATATGATAGTGAATTTATTTTGGTTGTATTAATCATTAACTTTTGTAAGCAATGTAAAATGATTTTGGATGTGTATTAGACACTACTGCAGGGTCAACTTTTGTATTTAATAATAAATTTATTTCATGATGTAATGAAAATCAAATCACTACTTTGTATGAATTAAGTATATCTTATAAGTTCTTTGAAAAGTTGAGTATGTAGTAGATAAAATATATTATATGAAATGTACTATTTGAAAAACCAATAGCATAAAATACATTTAAAAAGATGATAACACAAAATATATAAATTGATATAATATTTGAAAACAACACAATGTAAATCGATCAACTGAACTAAATCAAATCGAACCAAACTGAATAGTTTAGTTCGATTTCATTTTTTGAAAAACGTTAAAAATCGAACCTGAAATTCTGGTAGTCAGATCTCCGATGTCCTAAGAGATGTCGAGACACTAATCTTTGAACAACAACAATAATTTGAGATTAACTTTGAGGTTAAATCTAAACCTGGAAAAAGCTTAGTGTAAAGAAGGTTGTTGAGATAATCTTATATAAAAGCCCAAATTGTATAGTAAAAATCTCAAGAAAAAACTTTTGAAAACAAGATTATGTCATGTGGTTTAAGTTCGAATCAGTATAATATATAATGTCTGGTATATGTATTATATTTCAGAAACCCCTCAATCCTCCTCTTCATCGTTCCTTCGCGGTCTCTCTCCATTCTCTAATTCGCCATTAACACCGATAAACTAGTAGTTTAGTTGAACCACCCACAGTTTAATCACTTAATTCATGGTACAGACCAATTCAACCAGACTGCAATATTAACATGATCAAACTAACCAACAAACTCGCCGGTACTGGTTCTCAATCTAGTTTTAAAAACATTGAACATATGTATTTTATATCATAAGATAAATCCAAACAAGCATAATCAATTAAGAAGAAAAAAACACAAGAGAATGTTCTCTGTATTGAAATGAAATCAATTATATAATCATCATCCAAAAATGTCTTCAGTAATGAATGATTCCTCCTCAGTATCAACACATGATTCTGAAGGTAACTGAAGTGATTCATAGTTTAATTGTCTAGAAGCTTCATACAAAGCTATGCCAACGCTTACCGATAGATTCAAACACCTAACATACGTTTCAACCATCGGGATCTTTAGAGTCCCGCCACCAAACGGTTCAGTTTTGCAGTCTAACAAAGCTTCAGGTGGAAGACCAGTAGTTTCAGCACCGAATAATAGATAATCGCCTTTTCTGTACGAAAAATTCTGCAACATACAAAGGAACCAATAATTAACGTTTTCTGATACCAAATAGATCCAATAGTTAACAGTTTAACTGTAACAAATTTTGAACCATGTGCAGTAGTCCGCCTTCAAAGACGGCACTGATGCTATTAAACTTAACAACGAGAAACTCACAGAATGAATTTTCGTTCCCCTCTTTGTAAACGCTAGCAATCGCTTTTCACCCTCCTGTACCAAATAGTAGACATGTAGAGTCAAAAGGAAATTACAACAATGATTCCAGCAATTTAGTTTTTAGGATGATAATCACCTGTTGCAAAAAATAATCACGAAAACCTTCCCAAGAATCGTGAATTTTGACAACCACGTATCTGCAATTTCATGTTAATACGGAAAACAGATATAAAAATGTAATGCAGTTACGTCTTTCGACTTTAAAGAAGCATATATCAATGGATACGGCCAGTAGTCCAATCCGGCTCGCTTTAGTTTGGTATCATCCACCTTATATCCCAAGGGCTGAAAAGATAGACATACAAAAGCTATAATTAGTACTCGTACTTTACAGTGCTGTTAAATAGCAGCTATACTGGTACAATAGCGTAGCGGAATTTGGAAAATTTTATAGTGTTCTGCGATATAGATTTTGTTGCATTACAGAATTTGAACAAACTGCTATTTTCTGCGAACCACGATTGATAATGCTAAATTTTGCCATAAACACGAAAATAAAAGACAGTGTTGAATATCAAATGTAAATGATTTTTAACTTAGAAAGCAAAACTCACCCCAACTAAGTGTAGTCCGACAGCTGATGCTGCACATGTTCTAGCAATGCAGCCGGTGTTTCCTGGAATCTAACATGAATTAAACATACACAAGATGCACAAGTGTTATGTCAGACATGTATTCAATTCTATGAAGCACATACACATACACATCTAGAAGAAGGTGCGCCGCAGCGTCCAATATGTGGAGTGTGTGACACTTATATGACACTCGTATAAATCGTATCAAAAAATAAATCAGACAACTAAAAGGCAGGTAACTGTCTTGACAAGACTTGTATAGTATAGAATGTTATGTTACCTGAGGTGAAACAAGAACAACTTGAAGAATCTTGGGATGTGAGGCTTGACTAACCCCTTCTCCAACACCTCTAGGCAAAGTACCTTCCTTGCTTATCTCAGCAGAACCATCTGCAATAACATTCAAACAAAAACAACAACATAAGAATAATTGAAACAACAAAAGCAAATCAAAATAAGCCATAGAGAGAGAGAGAAGGACTGATAACTGGTGAGAGAGGAGTATGAAAGGGGAAAGAGGCGAGGAGAAGAAGAAGTGGAGGGTTTGAAGTGAAGTAAATTGAATGTTTGACGAAAAAGAGAGAGTTTGGAACGAAAATGAAAAGGGTTTGATGCTGATAAGTTGAGGGATTTCAGAGTGTCCATTCTGCTTCTCTCTATCCGATCCAGACAAAGTGTTTGTTACATTTACGGACAGGTTCTGTCTCAACTAGCATGCTTTCGTCCTTTGTTTTTATAAGTCTACCTTAATTTTTGCTTACCTATTATTACTCCTTTGGACATTTCTAATATAAAAAAATCCTTGAAAATTTCTTTTACACCTCTTAGGGTGATGAAAAATCCCTCAAAATTCAAAAATATCTTTCGGAGATATATCTTCGAATACATCTTAAAAAGATGTTTTAGAGATGTATCTCCGAAAAAAATTTATTTACACTTAAACATTATATTTAAACATGTAGTGATATTTTCGGAGATGCATCTCCAAAACACATTGATTTAGTTCTTTCGAAGATACATCTCTGAAATTATGGACAGTGATATTTTTTTTTAAATCATCAATATTTTGATAAATAATTAGATGAAAACGATAATAAAAACGTAAATGAAAAATGATAACAAATAAAAAACGATAATAGACACAATAAATTGTTTAAAATTAAAAAAAAAACAATAGTTGTTCATAAATTATTCTGAAAAAAGAAGAAGAAGCATAGCCTATTGCATATGACTGATCCTCACTCCTTAACTCCTCCTCTATCTCCTGTATCCTGCCACACTCTCTGCCTCCCCGACCATCCTCTCTATAATGGCCACCGCCTCAGGACCGCCCTCGTTAATGATACCTATGTCCAAAGCCTCCCGCCCAATCATCTGTATCCGCTGACAGATCGGCAAGAGATCAATGTCATGGTCATCCTCAGTCTGTCGGTTCTCTAAGATCTCCTCATGAGCTGACCTAGGTGGACGTCCAAGAGCATCCAGAACCTGAACCCGCTCGGGTTCCTCCTCGTAATCCTTAGACGAGGACACACGTGAAAGGAGACTCCTCAGAGCAGAAGTCGATGTTCCCTCCACTTCCTCCCGTGGTACTCGACCGCGTCCTCGATGCCTCGTAGCTTGCTTAGCTCTCTCTCTCTCTCTCTCTCTCTCTCTCTCTCTCTCTCTCTCTCTCTCTCTCTCTCTCTCATCGAACCGATGCAGTTTTGATAGGCCTACCAAGTCTTAATCTGTTCAGATTCTCTGCTATTTTTCTGTAAAAACAAATAATCGTTAATCAAAGGGCAGCGAACGAACAAGAACATGTTTGAAAAAAAAAAAAAAAAAAAACTCAGGCCTATTTTCAGAGATGCATCTGCGAAACTCCTCAGAGGGGTTTTCGGAGATGTATCTTCGAAAAAACCTGCGACTTCCATAACCAAAGCTTCAACTTAACAACACCATTTTTATACCAAAATCTAATTTTTACACATAAAAGCAAGCTTTTTACAGGTTATACATAATCTAAACAACTTAAAATACACATGCAAAGATTAAAAAGGATTGGAGAACTTACTCAAATTTGAAGCTTTTAGAGTTGTTGAAATGTGTTAAAATTGAGAGTTGGAGTGAGTTGTAACTGTTAGAACAAGATTTGATTATGCTATTTTATCTATGAGTTTTGATGATAACAAAGGGTATGTTTGTATGAATAATTTTGGTACTCTAATATTTGTTATTTTGAGTATTTAACAAACAGGTTCTGCTTCTGATGAAAGACGCTGCCAAGACATTAGAAGATACCAAGTTCTGCTTCTGTGCTACACATGTTCTGATGAACAGTAGCAAAACACTTCAGAAGGTTCTGAAGTTGTGACTCTGATACACGTCCAAGAAACCAAGTTCTAAAGATCTGAAGACAAAAGTTCTGACTGAAGTCCAGATGCTGAAGACTTATATTTCTGAAGACAAAGGATTCTCAAGACCAAGTGTTGAAGATTTTGAAGACAATGTTCTGAAGACTTGAAATTTTGATAACCCAAGGTTCGATAAAGGGTTTTGAAGATCAAGTGCTAAAGATTATGAAGACGAAGTTCTGAAGACTCTAAAGACTTGAAGTTCTGATAACTCAAGTTCTATTTTCTTACTTCTAACTCATGCTCATTTGAAACCTATGAAGTCCAGAAGATAAGAAGATAATGTTACACATAGTACATGATACAAACAAAGATTTCATTCCACTATCATGAAGGACGGACCCGTTGTACGATCTTGTCCCTCACTATGTTTCAAGCTGCCAACTTTCTGGATGTTCCAGAAATATCCTCCAACGGTTATAATATTTTATTGCCTATATAAAAGCTTGAAGACTTAAAGAGAAATCTATTAATTCACATTATTACAAGACTGTTCATAAGCTTCCTATTTCTTAAGTCTAAATTCTTGAAATATTGTTTACTAATCCGCTTGTTTAGATGCATATCTTTTGTAAATAAACCTTGTTCAAATTGTTGTTTGATTGTGCCTTAAGTGACCAGTTGGTCAAAATCCTTGAGAAGTCTAATATTAGTGTGTCTTAGAGGTTGTAATGTTAGTCACTTGCAGTTAGCTTATGCATTGTAATAATCTGTTTGATTATTGGATTGAGACCTTGTTGAGAAAGGTGAAATCACCTTGGAGGGTGGACTAGACTAGCTTGATAGTTTTCAAGTGAACTAGTATAAACATACATTGTTCTTTACTTCCTATATCTTATCTTTATTATCAAGAAGTGAAGAAAATATTTTTCACTTAAAGGGGATATTTTCAAAGAAATTTTTTTGATTTAAAACTCAATTCAAACCCCCGTTTCTTGTGTTTTTCACGCCTTCAGTTGGCATCAGAGCTCCGATTCTGAGTGATAAAAAGTTTGAATTTTTATCAACACCTAACAATGTTCAGTATCGATCCAGACTGTGTGAAAAACAATGGCTAACAACAACATTGTCACTGGTTATAATAAGGATAATGATAGAGATTATTATAGTGTTAAACCTCATGTGTTTGATGGAGAAAAATTTGACTATTGGAAGGATAAAATTGAAAGTTATTTTTTAGGATATGACTTGGATCTATGAGATTTATTAGTTGATGGCTACATTCACCCAGTGGATGATAAATGTCTAAAGATTGCAATAAGTGCAATGACACATGCTCAGAAAAAGATTCACAGAAACCACTACAAAGTGAGAACAATTTTGATGGGTGTTATTTCCTACAATGAGTATAAGAAGATAACAGACAAAGAGACTGCAAAGTTTATTTTTGATTCTCTTCAGATGACTCATGAAGGCAACGCTCAAGTTAAGGAGACAAAGGCTCTGGTTGTAATCCAGAAATATGAAGCCTTCAAAATGGAAGATGATGAATTTGTAGAAATTATATTTTCAAGATTCCAGACGTTTGTTGCAGGACTCAAGGTTCTAAACAAAGGATATTCTACTATAGATCATGTCAAGAAAACTATCAGAAGTCTGCCTAAGAAATGGAGACTAATGGTAATTGCCTTGAAGCTATCCAAGGATCTGAATAATACTAGTCTTGATGAGCTAATTCTTTCTTTAAGAAGTCATGAGATCGAGCTTGAAGAAGATGAAGCTCAGAAAAGAGTTAAATTTGTGGATTTGAAGTCTAAGTCTAGAAAGACAAAGGCTTTTCAAGCTGAATAAGAATCAGAAGGATCAGAAGAATATTCAGATGAAGATAAACTCTCTCTAATATCCAGAAGGATAAGCCAGATATGGAAACATAGACAAAGCAAGTTTAGAGGATCAAGAAAAACAAAAGGTAGATTTTAATCTACATCTGGTCATAAGAAACCTTATAGAAAATAAATTACGTGTTATAAGTGCAAATAGTCTAGACATTACAAGAATGAATGCCCAAAGCTCAGAAATGACAAGAAGCCCAAGAAGGTCTTCAAAGCAAAGAAGGGTCTCATGGCAACATGAGGTGATTCAGAATTAGAAGAAGAAGATTTTGATGAACAACATGCTAACGTGGCACTCATGGCCAATACAAGCATAAATGAAGTTATCTCAGAGTGTTAGTTGGAAGACGATGATGAGTCAAACTCTGAAGACGAAGCAGCGGTAATTGCTTCTCTCTCTCGTTTTGAACTTGAATCTTGTTTATCTGAAATGATGATAAAATATCAACTTCTTTTAAGTAAACACAAAACTATAAAAAAGACTTTTGTAGTTACTTATGAGAACTTTACTAAGAATGAGCAAAAAAATTTCTGATTTAAATGAAAAATTATTTGTTTTAGAAAAATCAAATCTTGATCTTAAAAGTAAAGTCTCAAGGTTGGAAGAAGAGATTATTTCTAGCACATATTTTACCGATGAAGTAATAAGATATGATAGAGATTTTCATCATTTCTTAGATAAAGGCATAGATAGAAGCAAGATGGCTTCAATGATCTATGGTGTTAGCAGAAACGGAAGTAGAGGCTTTGGATATTCAAGACCATCAAAAATAATTGATGAGACTCTGAGTTTCAAACCAAAACCTCTTTCTGAATATTTCGTGCTTGCTGGCACTGAACTAAAATGTCCAGAACAATAAGGTTCTGATTCCATTGAAACACAACCACAAACACAGAAGGAAACTTCTAAGCCTAAATATCATGCATAAATTCCAGTTGATTATCCTGCTGCATAAGATTCCAAAGGTGTCAGAACCTTTGGAGCTGCTAACAAGAAAGGACCCAGAAAATGGGTACCTAAGGATGAGATAATCTATGTTGCAGATATCCTTAATGGAGCTACTAAGACACCAGTCATGGTATCTGGACAGTGGATGCTCACGACACATGACGGGTGAAAGGCATATGTTCCAAGACTTGGAACTTAAGTCTGAAGGCGTTGTAGGTTTCAGAGGCAATCAGAAGGAAAATATCATTGGCTATAGAACTGTTGGTAATAGCAAACTTCCTTCTATTAACAACATTATTTTAGTCAAGGGTTTGGTGCATAACTTATTGTCAATTATCCAATTAGTGACAATGGTTATGACGTCATCTTTAATCAAACGTCTTGTGAAGCTGTAAGTCAGAATGATGGCTCAGTTCTGTTTAATGGTAAGAGGAAGAACAACATTTACAAAATCAGGTTATCATATTT